GTGAGATCAACTCTGATGTAATAGATATTGAGCCAAAAAAAATAAAAATACTATGGTTTTATTAGAAAGAAGTTGAGATTTAAATGGAGGATATTTCTCACCATTGGTTATCAGAGTTACTAATCTGTCCCAACCTTAATTGTCTCGAACCGAAGTTCGGTTCGGTTTCTTTTGACAAGAATATTCCCGTACCAAAAGACAGATTGTCGAAAAAACCGAACCAATTTGAACCGGATGCCCAGCTACTCCAACATTTGGTGTAAAATGTTTACAAGCATCTCGTACATGTGTACGACATTTGATCAAATCATCCAACGCAAATTCAATAGAAGGAACAAAACAAAATCAAAGAGTAGTTGGGCCGTTATTAATAACTTGGGCCTCTTCGTAGAGTTGAACAAGGCCAGAATCCACATTCTCTTGAGGCTCCCACGTGGCATCAGCCATATCAGTCCATTTCACAAGATACTCTGTTTTCCCATTGTCACCCATCCTCTTCCCCATCACTCTCTCCGCTACAGCGTACTCCAGCCCAGCCTCGTAGTCCTTCGCCACATCTTCCGCCACGTGTACACCTTTCACCCATTCGCAATCTCCACCGTCCTTCCATTTGACCAAATATTCAACGTCTTTCCCTTTCCCTCGTTTCTCCATAATCTCCTGCACCTCCGCGTACTCGAACACTTCTCCTTCCAGTATACTGATCACCTTCTCTAGACCCAATCTCCGACCAAACTGCATCGGATTCCCTTTAGGTGTTGTCTTAAGAATCTCCTTCGCTAGCTCCAGAGCCGTTAAACCTCTCTCGTCTTCCACCTCTACATCGGCGCCGAGCTCAACCAGCGCCGCAACCACGTCCGGTTTCACGTAACCAGCCGCCATGTGAAGCGCCGTTAAACCGCCTCTGATGTCACGGTGGTCCAGATTGGCTCCAGCTTCCGACAGAAGCCTAACGCACTTGTCCGAACCAAGACCCGCCACGAAAAGAAGCGCCGTTCTACCGTTTTCGTCTACGGCGTTGATATCGCGACCGTCTTCTGACTCAAGAAGCTGTGCCAGGGCCTGATCGTCGGCTTTTCTCGCGGCGGTCCACCATGGAGTCTCGTATTCCGACACGACGTCTGCTGCGATGTAGCTCGATGGGACCCACGAAGGGGAATGACCGTCTTTCCATTCGATAAGGTATTCCATGGCGGCGCCGCTTTCCGCCGTCCGGCTTCCGATGATCTTGTTCACTTCTCCGTATGATTCATCGTCTTCCACGGTGGTTGCTGTTTCGTAGTTTTTTTGTACGGCTCTTGATATCGATCGGAAACATAGCTGCTTCCGGATCTGTCTGATCGGAAAGGATTGAATGGAGAAAGAAGAAGATTTGGGAATAGAGGAATAAAGTTTGATGCGAAATAGAGATTGATTGATTACGAGAGAAGACTCCATGGCCAAGACAGACGCAAAGGTTTCTTGTGAGAGTCGGAAGAGAAAAAGAGAGTTAACTGGAACACTGGATTTTCTAGTGGATAAGGAATCTTAGCCACCCAATCATTCGGATTCTGGAACCATCCAAGTACCAAGACCCATTTCATTTGCGAGTTTTGTTGGGTCATTTAAAATTGGCCCAGGGGACGCAGAAACAGAAGGAAACAAAAAAAAAAGAAAACCAAACTCTTTCTCTCTTTCAGGATAATGTATTATTATTGTATACACAAACCAAGGCTTCAATATGTATCTACTACTACACAAAGCACAAGAAACAAAGCAATGTTGGCGACCATTAAATATGCCCAAAGTATCTTGCACAGAGTCTCTCTCTCACTCAACATTTTCTCTTTTCAACCTCGAACCGGGAAACAAAACACCTTCATCATACTCTCTCTGCCATGCATCTCCATCTTATGATGATACCGTCCCTTGTTTTGGCTCCGACTTGCATTTCACTCCGCAGCAGCAGCAGCCTGTTCAATGTACCTTTCAGCTTCCCATTGCTTAAACAATAAACCATCCCTATTAATCAACATCTCTGCCTACTACTTCCTACACCCTTAGGTGTGTTATGAACTTAAGGGCTAACTTTTTGGTATACAAATCAACTACATATGCATTTTGAACAATTGAACAAGCTACTCGTAAGTCTTCTTATCCCCATTAAGTCTTAAGCCTGCTAAATGCCAGATGGATTTTCACTTACCTGGTTAAGAGGATTATCTGGAGATTTCTTCCACATCTTCCATATCAAGTCCTTGTACTGAGTGTGAGTAAGACCTGGTTTCTCCTCCTTGAGCCTTGGAAGTTCAGCTTCTTCATAGGCCTAAACCACAATTATAACAACTCAGTATGTAGTTCCACCCAAAATTTTGCAACTTGTGATCATTCTATCAAACAATTATCATTTCAACAACAGAAACTCTCCTAATATATTACTTAAAAATCTCATACGAGGACCTTCAGAAATCACACGAATAACTTCTCCTAAATGTCATCCACTACAAGGAGCAACCATGAATAATTTCCTCTAGATAGCTTAAGCATTACGAGGAAAAAAGATACATCATCCTTCCTCTAGCCATACACTAATATAATCTTTCCAATCGAATTACGAAATCTAAACATCGGAAACTTAAACGAAGTATAAGAAGCCACAGAACGTTAAAAGCAAAGGGCACAAGAGATAACCTTAAACGAAGCCTTGAGCCTTTTCTCTGGGTGACGATCAACAGGAAGGTTATCAGCCACCGTAATCCGTGCAAGCGCCTCGTCAACGCTATGTGCTTCGATGATGGAATCATCGCGATTCGTATTGGTCACCAACACCATCTTCTCGTACTCATCTTCCGCAGCCATGCGTGTCTGTTTTTTCTTAGAGTCTTCGGCTTTCTTCGCTAGAGCCACCTGTTCCTCCTCTCGCCTTCGGATTAGCTCCGCCTCTGTAACCTTAGGAACCGGCACAGCGACGCGATTCACCTTCTTGTCTGGCTTTTTCAGAGTCTTCTCCAATTCCTTTTCCTCCTGCTCAGCGAGACGCTTCGCCTCTAATTTCTTCGCCGCAGCCTCCGCTTTCTTCTCCGCCTCTTCCTCTCGCTTTTTCGCCGCCTTGGATTTGGGACCTTCGGCTTCGCGCCAGTATTGTTCCTCCTTCTCCCGAGTCTGGCGATCCTTCTGCTCTGCCTCGGCGGCGTTTTTCCGGGATTTGGCGACCTCCGCCTTGCTGTTCACACCCATCTTCTTCGGCATCTTCGCTAGGGTTAATTCGATTTTCCTTCGCCGTATGTTTGTCTGAGAATTGAGATTGGAATTGAATTAACGTGTACGCGTGTGCAATAGATAGAGATATTTTTGTGGTTTTCCTAGTCCAAAGCCCATTTAAAAACATTCAAATTGCTGGTACCCTTTCAATGTATTGGCCCAAGCCCAACATATCTTTGAACTTCAAGGGCATGATCGTCCTAGCTCCGTTTGTTTTTAGTAGGGTTGGACAAAAAATTTAAGACCCGGGAACCGAAACAAAATCGATCTGAAACTATCCGAATTAATCTAAATTGATTTTTTTTTTCTAAAGTATTTTAATGTGACTTCAACACTTTAGTACCAAAAAATCCGAACTGAAATCGAACCGAGAATCGAACAAATATCTAAAGTACTTGAAACATCAATTACCCTAGAGATATTTAGGTTCTAGGTCAGATATGATTATGTAGTTTGGATAATTTTTACAGTTGATTCGATTAGTTCGGGTATTTGTGCGATTTGGTTCGGGTATTTGTGCGTATGTTCGGGTAAAATAACCAAGTTGGGTATATTATTTGAATTTTTACAGTTTTTTGTTATTTTCAGTTATTTCGAATATTTTTAAATATTTTCAAATAAAAAAGAGTTAAACCGAATTGAACCCGAAAAAATTATGTTCATATCGGTTCTACAATCAACTATCTGAACTGATCCGAACCGAGAAAAGTAT